TTTTATATTAATGAATTTTCTCATTTCGTATTAAATTCCTCAATATAGGAAGATTTCAAGAACTGTTTAAAATTATAGTTGCCTGTATTTATTTTAGCAGTCGTATGAAATTAGCAGTCAACTCTATGAAATAAACATATAAATAAACTGTAGCTTAGTGTAGCTAATAGAGAGAATGAATGATGAGAATGAACTACGTCAATTATTTACAGGCGATCGATTAATACCGCATAATTACGCCGTTAATGAAATTAACCGCAGGGCCGGATTTGAGAGGCCGTGGGTGTTAACTTATATAAACATGCCTTAATACGTGTAATATTTATTTAAATTAATAAAGAAAGAATGAACGAACGAATATCATGTTTCAAGCACTTTGAGTATAATAAAGATGGAAAACCTTGATTGGTTTAAATAAGAACAAAATGAAGTATAAGCAGACAACTAAAGGGTCTCTTATAGATTATGATCTGATTGCCAGTGATTACGTATATTATTGGAGTTGTTAAAGAATTCACGTAGAGGATCTATGAAGAAACACAATTTCAAAAGGTAGTACCATGAGCTCAGTATGCAACTACTGTAGAGAGATATTTTTCAAAACTTTAGAGTACAAGTTGTTGCGTTATAAAAGTCAGTTGAATCTCAGCGGGAATGTGAGGACTACCGCACCAGCAACAATATTTGATATTGATATTGTTGGCATCAATTGGTTTCATTGGCTTGATTATGTAGTAGTTATAAAAAACGATGTTCGACCAAAAATAATGTTTGATTTTGCAGTGGGAGAAAAAAGATATACGCTAGACATCTTGTTTATTGATAAAGACGAAGTAGCGATAATTACTCCTAAGCGTGTTCGAATCAGTATCTATTGAAGGTTAGTTGTTAGGGCCACTTAATTAAGCAAATAAGTATAAATACTGTGAGGAGTAGTCAACATTAGCCCTCTTTCGTTCCCAGTGAAATGCATGTCCTTTATTATCATATTATATCGTATTGTCTGATGTCCTTTGCTTGATACATTCCAAAGCGTAAGGAACCAATATCATAAAAAATTTGAATTCTAGAAGAATTGCTATAATTAAATATAGTGGCTTTTATTTAAAAAAGCGTTATATTCTCGTATACTAGTGTACATATTAACCGGAAAAAAATTTTCGATCCTGAAAATAGGAGTCGATGATATTATTTAATTCTTCTTTGTTTTTAATATAGTCAATTTAACGTCATAATGCTTTTAACACGGTATAAGAAAAATATATTAAATGATAGAAATGTTACTATTTTATGTATGAGTATAGTCAAATAGCGGGGCAAGGGTTAAGGTCACGGAAAAATTTTTTGAAATTGTAAGTAATATATACCATTATCTTATGTAACTTTCCTTTATACTTCCATGTTTTTACATCTGTTATGATAACAAACTGCATATTTCACAATATATTATATAGAAATATTGATGACTATCACATATCCGAAATATATTGTATAAGGTCAATTGAATTTATACTATGTATAAGTTTACGTTATAATCCATTGCCAATAAAAATATTCCAGTTATAATATATTATGATTTTATTTGAATGCAAAATCATTGAACTTGAATTTTTAAAATAAACCATGAAAAAACAACATTTGCACGTATTCCAAACATTTAAGGGATGATATAGTTTGATGCAATTTTACACCGTGGTATGGTGGGAAAACCACCCCCAGTGAGGAGTGTACGAACTGGCCTGATGTTGAACACTGTAAACATAGTCAGAAATTTAGATGCATTCGAATTTTAATTTTTTTCCTTTTTTCGCTGTCCGTAACAACCCCTTAAAGCCGAACCAACAAAATATAAAATTCGATATCATCACGATCAATAATGTGCATCCAATCAAACGTAAAATAAAACCAAATATAAAATTTTTGTAATTTTTTGTATTTTGTCATCGTATATTGTTTTGTACGGATTCCTGCATATAAATTAAATCCAAAAAGATATTTAAATAAAATCAATATAATCCAATATTGCAATTCTCCGTCCCGTCCTATCATCAGATAGCGCAGTGCAATCACTGTAATATGACTTCATACCTGCTTTTATATGTCATATTCAAATCCGTAAAACGGACTCTTTTGGCGTCTGCTGTATTATTCTACTAGTTCCTTTAATAAGTTAAGATATTGCCTTTTATGTGACAACATCTCGTGCTACTGTATCCGCCGCTACTTAAACAATCAAAGAACACTAAAGAGGTATGAGTGTAAAAAACTTACCCCTTAAAAAATTGGAACGCGTCACTCTCCAATGTTGTTGATTGCCATTCTGGCATTTAACGCACCTTTCACTATAAACAAAGAGATATGAGGGATGATAAGATTTAACAAACGAGCTGTATTCCATTCAAGTTTTCCAATTTGTTGCATTGAAATAGAATTCTCTGGATTTTGATATGAATTTACACAATTTAAAGAATTTTCAACTCTTTCTCATGCTTTTTATTGTAATTGCGTTGTTGAATTTATTATATTTTTTCTTCTATCCGTACTTATGGGTATCAAATGAATACAGTGAAAACCAGAAAAGTTAAACTAAACAAAATAATACAATATATGATAGTACAATAATAATGAAGATAGCACATAAATATATGTACCTATATTGTATAATTATCACCCCTTAGGGGTTTAGAGGTTTGTGAATTTAACAATTTTTATCCTGGTAGTGATATATGAGAGAAAACTGCAAACCGTCCGCTTTATTACATTGTTGTCAATAAATGAAAAATGTTTTTAATATATTCAAACTGTGTAGAAAGTATCAGGAATTTATAATTTAATAAATGCATATAAAATACAACTTCATAATTTTTCCATAATTTTTAACAGTATGTTTACATCATCTGTTTTTGCAATTATATTTTCCATTCTTCTGCGATGGCGCAAAACGAAGGAATGTGATCGACTAAGTACTATCTCAAAAGATATTCCATAATTTATTTTTATATAGATGTGTTCACATCTCTTGATTTTGTGATTATGGTTTTAATACTTCTGCGATGGCGCAAAGCGAACATTGTGTAAGGAATGTGATCGACCAATTACTCTCTCGGCTAACGTGGATCTATGGTATATGACATTTTTTGGTCCTGAAGCTAAAATAATGAGCTGCAGAAAAGCGTTTTGAGTCTTTCTCGGTCATAAAATACAGTGATGAAATTTGAATCATCATTTAATCAATGAAAAATGTAAGAATGATTATGGAATAATATGTTAAAAATAATATTTCTAGAGATTTTACTGTATTATTTCGTATTTTACGTTAACAAATAATTCACTAGAATGCACACACTTTCGTGATGATATACTGAACAAATTTACAAATTATTTGGGTTTGTCTGGTTTAAATATGTACGCGTGCATGTTTGATTTATCAGAAAATTAATCGTTTGTTTATTTTAATGACGGTGGTTAATTTTAAATAAGTTTTCTGAATTTTCAACCCACTTATTTTACGTATTTATCTGTCGGTCTTTTCATAACAACTGAACTGTGGTTAAATAAAATTCACACTAATTGCTTGTGAATTTCTCAATTTTTATCCTTTGAACTGTACAAATAGAGTTCAAAAATTTTAATTTATCTGTAAGTAACATAAAATGGTTAATAAAAGATGAAAACACTTAACGATATGCAAGTATCAGTATGCACATTGAGATACCTCGTAGAGATATCAGTCTTTTGGTGGGTTTACTTACAGGTCTTTGCAGACTAGGGAACCATGCTAGCAGATTGAAACTCCCTTTCAATAATACCTGTCGCAGCTGTGGGGAAGACGATAAAAGTGCTTCTTATCTACTATGTCTTTGAGGATTTTCTTTTTGTTTTCTTGAGGATCTTGATCAATTACAAGACCTCCGACTAAACAGCATTCTAAACATCACCAAAGGTTCTATGTGGTTTTAAAACCTGAGTTTCATCAATATACGGAGCCAATAGGCGTAAGTGGAATCTTAGGGATCGGCGGAATAACCTACCCTAACATAAAATAGCGATATAACAGAATAGATTAAAACAGAATTAGCGTGGCATAACGACCATTGGCGTTCTTTTGTGGTAACAATTTGTTCTAGCCGAATAGAAAACATTTATCTTTCCAAATTAAGGCTAGAGTATGTTGTTTAGTTGATTTTAACAAGTACATAGTATTAAATATGTCAAAGCGACATTCGCTCAATATTACACTCCAAGATCTGTTTGCTTTGGTTCAGGCATACAATGCAACTAGAGACCTCACTGGAAGCCTGGCAGAGACGGAATGTTTTTCAATTTGGGAAACCCATGTTATTGAGGTGGTCATGCAGGTAAGAATATGTCGACAAGTAATTTGTCTGTAACCTTAGTCTTGCCATATTGAAGGAGAACCACTTAGTGTACTCAACTAATTGATTAGTTAAGTATGGCACTCTCTCAGCTCTGCCATACTGGGTTAAAAAGACTCTATGTTGTTAAAAAAATTATTTAATGATATTATTTGATTTGTATTATTTAATACTACTATTTATAATATTTAATATATACTATATATTATGAGGCATAACAATAATAACAATATACATATGTATATGTCATATACAAAGTTTTAATACCTTGCCATTAAATAATTAACCTATTCTTTATTTACCATAAATATATTACAAATGTCTCTATTGATTTTTAGGCTATTCTGAACTATCATCTGAATTTATAATTCATACTTATGGTATTTATTATAGCGGGCTGTGTACTATATTTTCTAAAGCTTCAAAAAATAAATATAATATGATATAATAATAATATTCGTGCTGTTCGAAACTTCAGTTATGTTAGTTCTCGGGAGTTGTTATTTAAGTAGTGTCAATCCAAACATTCGAATCCAATATATTCCAACAGCTTGATTCTTTTCATAAATTATTGAATATTGTATGTTTCATATTTATACTTTATTAATAAAAACTTCAAGTTATAGTTCTCCGCTTTCACCAATTACTTTTTTATTTAAATTTAAAATTAATGATTTACACATTGACGGCACATATTGCCTTGTAATCCTGTTTTTACAACGCAATATATTTTTACCTTACTTAAGCGACCAGGTGTCATAGACTTTATTTCCTTTTCTTAACGATCATGGCACGTTCGTCTTATTTTCAACATTCTTTGATTTTACTAAGTGTAAAAAAATAGAGGGGGAAAAATTGAAAAAAAAAATTACGATTTTTTTCATAAAGTTACGCACCTTGTTAAATTCTATTATCCTTTCTTTAATTATGGTTATTGATCATATGTTTCCTGTTTTTGTATAAGGACCAATTTCTTACAATCCAGCTAGGATAGCAGCTGCCTTTGGAATAGAAAAATGTTGTACGGTATGTTACGTGTTAGCTAAAATATTACACTAGATTTAGGGTTATTGTTGTATAAATGATTATTAAATTTATTTCTTCATATCAACCACAAGAAGTGAGGGGACTTGGGGATGAAAACAAACAAGTTAAAGATAAGAAATTACGAGAATTTGATTTTGTTACTGTAATGGAATGTACTGAAGTTTATAATATTAATAATCCCGCTGATATTTATATTTAAGCGTTTCAATTGATAAATATATCAACCCATAACTTCCATTAAAACTGGAAAAGATCCTTGCATTGTATGTTTATACCTGTTCATGCGTCTACTACCTCAACTATCAAAATTGGTCGAAAAACTTATACCATATATAATAAAATAATTTATTTAGTTAAAGCACTTGTTATATTGCCAATAATATGAGTGATGTTATAAATAACATAAAAAGTTGTAAACAATATAAAAAATTTAAAAGTATTAATTATGTTTTATGTTGTGTTCACCTCGTTGTTACAAAGGCCTTTGGTAAAGTATGGCATGTTGTTTTACTTACAAATTGAAATCTTTACTTCGAAAAGAATTCAGCCTCATATTGAATTCATATTTACAGTCCAGAGCTTCTAGGGTAGAAAAAAGAAACGAGCATTTTAAAATTTGTATTTCACACCAAGTATTTCGTCTATTCTGCTGGTTGGTTCGTTGGGTCAAATGGTGTCATGAGTCCAATTAGCACTTTTGCATCATAAGATTTTCACATTCTTGTTGTGTTGCTTGTGTAGAGAAGAAACTCTATAAAGTAGGTTCTATACTACTTTTTTTATTGACGCAAAAGGGCTTAAAGACCTACTTTAAACCCATAAGGGGGCGCAGTAGACAAGACGCAGTGCCACATCGCTCAATAATAATAATAATAATAATGTGTAGAGAGGAGGATTAGATCTACCCCGTACAGTTGAGGAACCTTTCAAGTTCATTAATACTAAAAAGTACCAGCTCTCAGTGATTATTGATAAACAATTTACCTGGTCGCCTACTTTTTAGCACCATGACTGCTGATGAGTGTAATCAAAAACAATAAGAAACATTTTCGGCATTTTGTTATATCTTCTCCAAATTAAAGGTGTACTTCTTATAGCAAAAACTATATTAGCTACATTTACCTATGACACAGTAATCCTCGGAATACACAATACAGCAAAAAATATATTATAACTGCGATAGATAGAGTGGATCTAAAAAAATGCTACTCGAACTGAGTATGGTAGCAGCTATGACAGCAAAATCAAATATAATTATAACTGAATAATGGACGAATGAGTTCCTGATATTAACAGAGCAAAATGTCACGACGACAAACTGTTCTGAAAAAAACATATTAAAATAAAAAAATAAATTATCGAACACACATTCGGTATATATAACAAAATCCTCCTATATAATTAGATATTCAAACTAGTCTGACTTTATAAAATAGAGTTATTTGAGTATTTTCAAAAATTTCGGGGAGAGCATCCAATGACATGTTACTCAGGAATATTTACATTTTTAGCGACGACCGCTCGGTATTTATGTCTCTTGCTGATGTTCTATCAACATCTA